TGAAATTTTAAAAAAAGGACAGGACAGGGTTGTATAGGCAGAGTCCTCAGATGCAGTGACTCAGTGACTTGCTCCAAGGCACACAGCTGGCCCCTAGAGACAAGCTGAGACCATCTGTATCCTTTGTCACAGGAGGGGCAACATGCAGACAGCAATACCCTTGGCTGAAGGTGGGCGCCCGGAGCTCGAGGCCACTTTCACTCTCCCCGGGGCCACTCAGACCCTCCACTCATCGGCCTCAGGCCTTTGCCCAGCGATCACTCTTCCTTTTCCTTCAGACCAACCTCGCCAGCCTGGAGGAAGCTAGGCTTCTATTTTTAGGATGTTTGGGCCAGCACAGAGCTAATGAGCAGAACAAGGAAGGGATGAGCTAAATACCGCGCCTGAAAGTTTCCTTCCAGAGTCCCTACTCATCCCAACCTCACTCGCTCCGGCTTTGCCCCACTCCCCAACATCACCACCAAGCGGAACACAGTCCCTCCACAGCAGTGTTTGGGCTAAACTGAAGGTCATGTGGGGTGACAAAGCCCCTGAGAGTAGCCAGAGAGAACATACGCCTCCCCCCACCCCTCCCCCCTGAAGTCACCCTGGGTGGCCCAGCCTGACAGTGTACCCCTTTCAGGTCTAACAAGCTCTTAACAAGCCTTCCATCATTGAGAGCACTCCCCTGAGAAGGCTTCCTCAAGGCCCTGGAAGCTGGGGAGAGAGGGGCTAAGTCAGCTTCAGGAACACAGCATGACACAGAACAAATCAGAATCAGACCTGGACCTACTGATGTGTCATATCTCTGTAGCCATCCAGAGTCCAGTCCCTGTCCCAGGACAACAGACCCAGTTAGGGAGTCTTGTTAGTAACCCAGCTTCAGCTACTCTCTAGAAGGGTAACTGGGTCTCCTCACATATGCTGCACCAAGGCTCTTCTGGGACCCCAGGGATGACACTGCTCATTCCATCCTCCAATGTTCAGGCAAATCTTGCCAGTCTTCTGCCTCAGTTCTCCATGAGAAGTTAAAAGCCTGCAGTCTGAAATAACTATCTCTTATTGACTGGAGTGAACCAACTAAGGAGAACCCCAGACACTTTTTAGGACGGACAGAGAGCAGATTCAAACCTCCTTTGGGGCCCTGTATGTGGCACATGCCTATTATCCCAGCACTTTGGAGGCAGAAGCAGGAGGATCAGGATAGTGAGTTCCAGTCTGGTGTGTAAGAGACACTGTGAAAACAAAAATGGCAAGACAAAATAAAGCCTGCCCAGGGCATCGAATCTGATCCGGTGACTCCAACACCACCACTTGTCTTTAGGAAAAATTTAGCTAAGAGCAATAAACCCAACCTCCCTCCCTCAGACCTTATGTTTCCTCTCTTTGGTAAAGAGAGGCAATACTAGAAACACCACAATACTTGTGGTAGGCTACAGAATGACTCTCCAAGAGATACCCATTTCTCTCTCTCTCTCTTTGTTTTTTGTTTTTTGTTTTGTTTTTTTGAGACAGGGTTTCTCTGTATAACAGCCCTGGTTGTCCCAGAACTCCTCCATAGACCAGGCTGGCCTCAAACTCACAGATATCCACCTGCCTCTGCCTCCCAAGTGCTGGGATTAAAGGCACACGCCACCATCCACAGGCTGATACCTATGTCTTAATCCCTAAACACTACTTTACCTGACAACGAAAAGACTTTACAAGAATGATGTACTGAAGCTCAGGAACGACTTTGACATGGGCAATTATTCTGGGTTACTCAAGACCACAGGGCAGTCGTATGCATTCATGGAACACTACTAAGCCATAAAAAAAAAGAGAGAGAGAGAACAGACTCCCGCCACTTCCTAAGGACAGGGATGGAGCTGGAAACGATATACCAAGAGCTTGTCACCAAGCTTGAGGTCCTGAGTTTGATCCTGGAGACCCACGTGGTGGAAGGAGAGAGCTAGACTCCCAGAAGCCATCCTGTGACCTCCACATGCATGTGGGTGGGGCGCACACACATAAATAAATGCAATTACATTTTTAAATGTGTTTGTTTTATGCATGCAAGTGTTTTTACCTGCATGTACGTCTGTGTGCCACTTGTGTGCCTGGTGCCTGCGGCAGTCAGAAGAGGGTCATAACTGGAATTATAGGCAGCTCTGAGCTGCCCTGTGGGTCCTGGGAATTGAACCTGGTTCCTTTGCATGAACAAGTGTTCTTAAACCTCCCCCCCCACAGCCATTGCTCCAGTCCTATATTTAAAAGTTTTTTAGATTTTTTTTAAAGTAAGAAAAAAATGAAAGTTTGTATCATTAAAAAAAGATAAGGCTGGTAACACACACACATTTGGGATAGTAAGGCAGGAGGCTGAGGAATTTGATGCGAGCTTAGACTACACAGAAAAGACCTTGTCTCACAAAAAAAATATTGAAGGAAGGAAGGTAGGAAGGAAGCAAAGAAAGGAGGGAATGTTACATATTTGAGGAAACATTCAGCCCAATTTCAACAATACACAGTGTATACACAGTGTGAACGTGTATGGGAGGGACTCCATGTACGCACAGCTTCACGTAAGTAACAGTTAACCATGGTATACCAGGGCTGGGGACATGGCTCGCTGGGTAAAGTGTTCACCGCACAGGCACCTGAGAGCCTTGGAAAGACTGCGTGCACTAACAAGCATCCGTGATCTCAGCACTGGGTGGGGTGCAGACAGGTGGATTGTGGGGGCTCCTGGGCCAGCTAGTCCAGTCAAAACAACAAGCTCGAGATCACTGAGAGAACCTGTTCAAAATATAAGGTGGAGAGCAATATTGGAAGACACTCAAGGTCAACCTCTGACCTCCACACAGGAATGAATGGGGGAATGAGCCTCTACATGGCCATGTGACACACACACACACACACACACACACACACACACACACACACACACACACACACGCACGCACGCGCACACACACACACATATTACATGTATCATAAGAGACACCCAGAAGTAAATCTGGGGCAAAGACAAGACAAAGGTACAGACTGTTTGGAATGATAAAGTCACAACCAAACAATGCCCACCAGCCCAGTAGAAAGCGGATGAAAGGGATGGATTCTCCCCTAAAGCCTCCAGGGGGAGCACAACCTAGCTAACAGTTTTATCCCAAGGATACCAAGTTGGAACACCTGTCCTCTGGACTATGCAGAGGATACGTTTCTGTTGACTTAAGCCATTCCACCTGTAGCCACTTGCTCCAGCAGCCAGGAGAAACAAACACAGCGCTACCACTTAGAGCCTGCCTACTGTACGCACGGAACTGCTGAGCGTCTCATCCACATGGAATCCCAAGGCTCTTCCTGGGGTGTCTTGCAGTGCAGACACAAAGCCTCGGTTTGAATCTCTGCTCCCGCCCTCCCAACTACCGTGACCCTATGTATGCTGTATAATATTTAGCCCTGGCTTCCATGGTTACAACATAGGCACGGGGCATGTCTACATTAAGCTGCTACGAGGCTAAATGTGTAATGAAAATAAAATATTTCCAACCATCAACAATAGTCAGTAATCTAGCTATTGTGCGACCCCGGGAATTAAGCAAAACAAAATCAGGCCATCCTCCGAGGTCCATTACAGGAAATAGATTGTTCCCTTAAAGTCCAATGATTATCAGATATGAGAATCTAAAGAGTCCAGTGAAACACTTCTCCTTTAATTAAGCAATATGGGTCTGTGAGGCTGGTCTCACTTCAGAAATGACAGCTGTCTGGAACTATGCAAGTTCTACAGCACATTTGGACACTGCCCGGGCTCTCACGAGGCCCTACAGAATGCCATCCATCTTCAGAGCCTTCTGTAAAGGACTCTCACCTAGCAACCCCTATAGAACCCTTCACATCTTCTCTCTGTTATTCCGAAGTCAGCAGGAAGCAGAAATCTTGGTTCACTTTGTGACCTTTCACCGACTGGGCCAAACAGCACTCCAGTCTGTCCTAGCGGGCTGGGTGGGACGCATACGTTCAGGAGTCTGCTTTATTTAGACTGCCCACAAGTTAGTGAAGAACCACGGCTCCCAGGAAAGACCCCTAGAGTTATCGCCTGAATGAAAGCATAGGAGAGAACGAACTTACTGATCAAGTTCGTCCAACTCCAGTTGAGGTGATGCAAATGAAAGAGTAGGAAAGCAGCACCTGTCACCATCCTGGACTTAGTGTCCCCACCAAGGAAACCAGCAAGTCAGGAATTAAACAGAGAAGTCCCCCCCCCTTCCTGGCCAGTCGGCCCCGGCTTTCTGTCAGGCGAGGTTCCAACCCCTTGCTCTGGAGTGCACCAGCTCCAGAGGTCTCCTGCTGTTGCTGCCCGATGCTGGCCCTGCTCTCTCCTGAAGGCTGCAGCGACAGCCACCTGCGCTCTCTGCCCTTCCCCAGCCCACCCCCGGGAAGGAAGGAGGAGGCAGCACCCCCCCACTTTCCAGCACCCACAGCTTTCTGAACTGCCGTCACCACTGACGAGAACCCTGGTCCCCTGGAGGAATCGCTTCTCCTTCCCATTCCATCCTCTCTATCAATGAACACGCAGCGACACCCACGCTCCCGCTCCTCCCACTCCGGAGGGAGCCTGAGCTCAAGAGCGACATCCGGAGCTGGAAGCCGCTGCAGCGGGGGTGCCGGTCACCCTGCCCCGGTGCTCCTCGCCTTTCCCTAGCCACCAGAAGACCCCCCCCCCCACACACACCCTGTTATCCGAAACTGACTCGGCACTCTGGGTGGAGAGGGGATCCGAGTCCTCCAAGGGACCCGCCTTTCCTCGGGCTTAGCAAAAGAGACCTCCGGAGAGCGCGCGCGCGAACCGCCCAGGGCCACCCGCGGAGCCTGGGATTCGAACCAGCTGCCCTAGTAGCCCAACATTCCCATGCAAGCCCTTAGCCCAACACTCCTGCCGCCAGCGCGCCCATCGTATCCCCTCAAGAAGGTCTCGGGTAGCGCCAGGACGGCGAGCCGGAGCGAAGCCGAGGGTCGCGGGGACCGAGCGGGTTACTTACGCACGGGCGCGGGGGGAAGCCCATGGACAGAAGCACGTCCAGCGCCGACCCATGCTTGATGGTGCCCGGGCGCTGCAGGCGGTCCCTGCGCGGGGTGACTTTGCTATACAGCTCCTCGCGCGCGGCCATGCCGAGGGCTAGGGTCACGGTGCCGAGTGCCCGCTCAGCGGCCGCCCATCGCCGGCGCGTCGGAGCTGGGGGTCCGGGAGGACGGCGGGGGCGGTGCTCCCAGCTCCTCGGGCGGAGACTGACGCTTCCTGGAGAGGCCGCCGGAGCTCGGCGCGGGCCGGCGGCTTCTGTGGGACTGACCTCAGCCCGCTGTGTCTGGGAGTCCCAACACTGCGCCGCTGCAGCCTTCTGTGTCCTCCGCCCCCCGGCTTCTCTTCCCTGAGCTGTCCGGGAATTTGCAATGAGTAATTTTTGAATGGATCAAAAAGGAAAAGCAGCCTTGTGGGCAGGCCCTGCCTCGCCTGTGCCGGGCCCCGCCCCTTTCTTAAAGCGGCCGCGCGGGCCGAAAGCTCTGCTGGCTGGTTTCCAGCTGTAGTAGGGATTGCTTCTAGACAGAACATCCCCCAGCAACCGAACTAGGCCAGTGTGCTTGGATTCACAGAGCCCCAGCTCTGCCCCTGACTTGCATATCGACTCATCTGGGCCTCGAAGCTTCGGAATAGCCCATTTCACGTTTCATTTGATCATTGGCGAAGTCAGTCATGGAAACCTACTGCACTGATGGATGAGAGGACCAGAAGGCTAAGCCTTGAGGCCCAGGGAAAAGGTGTCACTTGAGATAGATCCTGCAACAGTTACAAAGTTGTTTACATCTCTGTAGGCCGAGTCCCCCACAGCCTGCGGTGACTGAAGAGAGACCTCTGGAAAAGGGCCAGTGGCTCTTGGAAGTGGTGGGACCCCAGAGAAGGCAGAGGCCAGCCACAGAGGAAGGGAGAAGAGAAAGGGAAAGAAAAAGGGGAGGACGAGCAGAGAAGCCAAGGGATTGGAGGTAGAGAGAACAGGAGGAAGGACACTAATTAGAGCACTTCCTAGTGGAGTGAGCTGGCCTGCCAATAGGAGGGTTCAGCCCAGGAGCCACAAGTGAACCCCCGCACGCCACAGCTGGACCAAACATCTCTCCTCAAAGCAGATAAGGCATTACTGCTAATGCCCCTTGTCTCACATCATGAACTCCGCTGAGGAAATTAACACTCGGTCACCCGGAGACAAAGCTGTTGCCCTCAGTCAGGAACAGAGTTCCGTTTGGTGTAAGAGAAGAGGCACACATCTCCTCTGGGGGTAATAATAATACCTGACATTTATTGGACCCATCTGTGTGCCAATGATTGTGTTAAGCATATGGCTGAGGTAACTCGTGGGCCTTTTACAGTGCCCTGGAGGGTGCCTGCCCGTATAGCCTGGTTTTATTGGTGAGAACACTCAGCTCAGAGGGGCAGAGGAGATCGAAAGAGCTCACAAGTGAAGAGATGAGTTTGACTTACTGTGGTGCCCTGAACAAGTTACTTTTGTCCCCAACAGCCTTGTAGTCCCATCTATATAGAAGCAGTCACCTAATACCACACACACACACACACACACACACACACACACACACACACACACACACACACACACACCAGGTTATCTAAACACTTCAGCTCTCTCTGCTTGCCTGCTTATGGTATAGGGAACAGATGGTGACCAGCACTCTCAATGTAGCTTTCTAAGGCGGGGAGGGGGAGATTATCATTTAATTCCCTGACCTTCCACCCTTCACTGTTTTTGTTTTGCTTTGTTCTGTTTTTCTTATTTGAGGTACCAGTGGCATTTGGAAGTGGAGAGATGGGATGGGGGAAGCATGGGTAACAATTTGCATGTTTCTGCCTGGTGTTATGAAAGAGACCAGGGACAGTTCACACTTCCTACATGGGGCTGTTTCTTCTTCCCAGCAGACAGAATGCTTGACTGAGGCAGAGGTTGGAGGGAGCTGGGAAAAGCATGATCTTTAGACTAGCCTCCTTGGGATGTGCTCAGTAAAGTCAACTGGACAGTAGGCATTCTACGTCTTTTTAAAGTATCTGGGCTTGAGCCAGATGGTCTGGGTTTCAGTCAGGAGAAAATACCGCCTGAGGCAGCACTCTGCACTCAAAGCCCTGCCGGAACAGCATCTCTGACTGAAGGAGCCTTTACTAGACACTGGTGCTGTCCTTAGTGTCTTACATACGTGGCGCACACCACTCTTTGACCAGACTATGAGGTGGCTCTCTCTTGAGAAACTGGCACCCATGTATTGAGTGTGTACTGTCTTTTTGCTAAGTGCTCTGTGCAAGATCTTAAAACTATATTACGATATTTTCCCTTTTACATTTTTATTTTATTTATATTTATTTCTGAGTGTGTGTGTGTGTGTGTGTGTGTGTGTGTGTGTGTGTGTGTGTGTAACGTGTAGTCTTCCCACCAGCCACTTGGGTCCTGCTGCTGTCTCAGCACCCAAATAACACATGAGACACTATATTAATTATGAAGCTGTTGGCTGTTTGCTTTGATTTCTTATCGGCTAGCTCTGACTTAATTATTAAACCATAACTGCTAATCTGAGTGCTTCCACGTGATCTCTTACCGGAGAAAGGTCCGGAACTCTTCTCCCGCGTCCTACATTGTGACTTCTGTGCCTCTGTTTCCCATAATCCTCCTCAACTCCTAGTCCCACCTATCTTGCTTCCCTATTGGCCAACAGTGCTTTATTAACATATACACAGAAGGACTTCCCCCATCAGCATGTGTGTGTGTGTGTGTGTGTGTGTGAGCTCGCACGCGAGTTTTTTAATCGAACACAACAGTGTGGGTGTGGAAGTCAGAAGACAATTTGTAGGACTCATTTCTCTCGCTTTATTGTGCGGATCCCAGGGACTGAACTCAGGCCATCAGGGGCTCTGTCTGTTGAGCCATTACACTAGGCCAAAGTATTTGCTTAAGAAATTCCAACTTTGGGGGGCTGAACAGATGCTCATTGATTAAAAGAACATTTGTTGCTATTGCAGAGGATACAGGTTCAGTTTCCAGCACCTACATGGTAGTTGACAACCATCTGTAACTCCAGTTCTAGGGAGTCTGATGTCCTCTTCTGACATTCATGGACACCTAGCACATGTGTGGTACACAGACATCCATGTGGGGCAAATCACATTTAAAATAAAATGAACATATTTGATAAAAATAAACTTTTCATATTAAGCCAACAACCATGTACTGTTATAATGACAAAGGATGTGAAACTTTAAGATAGCTGATTCTGATTGTGTTTTTATTTGTTAGTCTGTTTATTGTTTGTGGCAGTCTTCCTATGTAGTCCAGGTTAACCTCAAACTCAAGATCTTCCTGCCTTAGCCGCCTCCCAAGTGCAGGATTATAGACCTGTGCCACCCACAGTGTGATTGTCTTCTGGGCCTCTTGGCATGGTTTGCTGGCACTCTGTTTCTCTGCAAAGATAATTTAGTTGCCTTTCCCCTGCCTCTGGAAAACTATGGGACGTGGGGAATGATTGGTATAAAAAGAGTTGTAAAGAACCTGCAGAGGGCACTATGGAAAACCAGGCACCTTTGATGCAAATTGTTTTCTGTTATGTCTGGGGCAGTTTCTGCAGAAGTCCCAGCCTGGCTCCTACCCTTCCTCAGCTCAGTGCCCATGCTTGTTTTAATCGGAACGGCTGCCATTTGCTCTGCACAGGACTGGGGGCTGGCAATTAAGATGCATTGTGTTTTAATTGTATTGGCTTTGAAAGGCGAGGAGACACTTTATAAACATCCATATTGTTATATTACAAAGGAGGAAGAAGAATGAGTGTTCATCTGACAGTGCATCTTATAGCTGCGGGGAAGAAGGAGGCGGACGAGGGCTTGCACAACGATGGAGCTGACACATCAACATTAAGCTGCTGTTCCCTCCGAGGGAAAGCAAATTGTCATGTCCCTGTGCCCCGTCATGTCAGAATCCACCCAGCCCACGAAGCTCTTTTGTTTATGTGAACACCATTTTACTCCATATCACTGGCCCCAGACACTATTTTGGTCTAGGAGCCCTTGCACAGTGGGTCATAGAGATGCCCACTTTCTCCTCCTCTCTTCCTTCTCATCCTCTTATTCCTCCTCCTGCTCCTCCTCCTCCTCTTCTTTCTCACTTCCACTTCCTTCTCTCTTCCACTTCCTTCTCCTTTTCCTACCCTTCCCCCTCCCTCCTTCTGAAACAGTTTCCCACTCTGTCGCCAGGCTTGGAACCTCCTGCCTCTGCCTTCCCAGCTAGGATTACGGGCAGCATAGCAGCCTGCACGTGTCCTTTGAGAAGCCTGTTCTGCCTTTTCCCTCTCCTTCTCTTGATCCAGGAGAAAAGGTCAGCAGTTGCATCAGAACAGGAGGGAAAGTCCGAAGACTACTTCCAGTTCCGAGGGCTGAGAGTGGTCTTGGTGAATGAAAGCCTTTTTTGACCCCCTGGGAATGGCTTCAGCTCCTGAACTGCAAGAGGGTTTTTCAGGCACAAAAAGTCATGTGCTGCCACTCTCTAGGCTCAGTCTCATCACCTGTCAAATGGGGGGGGGGGGGCTTCCCTTAGGCTGTCAGCCCAGGACATTGGAACCCAGGAGCTCTTTGAGGGTAGAAGTAGTATTACCCAATTGGAAACTGGGTGGATAGAGCGTGACATCCTGGCTTCCTCTTTCAGTGCAAAGAAACCTCATCAGCTTTACATCTTAGAGTGGGGGGCTGTATGAAAGTTTTCTACGAGAAAGAGTTTGGAAATATTTTTAATATGTTTGAAAGCACAGAACAAGAGTTATGGTTTGGTGTATGCGTGACTGTGTGTGTTGTGTGTGTGTGTGTGTGTGTGTGTGTGTGTGTGTGTGTGTGTGAGAGAGAGAGAGAGAGAGAGAGCCCATGGACATGTGGGAGTCCCAGGTTGACATGGGAGTCTTTCTTATTCGCTCTCCATCTTATTTTTGAGGCAAGGTCTCTCAGTTGAACCCAGAGCTTGCAGATAAGGCAAGTTTGGCTAGCCAGCTAGCTCTGGGGATGGCCTATCTCTACCCTTTTACCTTCTGAGTCTGGGATTACAAACAGACTACCATGCCACGCAGCAGTTATGTGCATACTGGAATTCAAACTCTAGTCCTCTTTGTTTGTTTGTTTTATAGTGTCTCAAGTATCCCAGTGGTGTTGAATAGTTTTACGTCAACCTGACACAAACTAGAGTCATTGGAGAAGAGGGAACCTGAGAAAATGGCTCCCCAAGATAGGGCTGTAAGCAAGCCTGTAGAGCATTTTCTTAGTGGTTAATGGGAAATGACCTAGCCATTGTGGTGGTCCTGGATTCTATAAGAGATCAAGTTGAGCACATCTTAAGGGGCAAGCCAGTAAGCAGCACCCCTCCATGATCTCTGCAGTAGCTCCTGCCTCTTGGCTTCCTTCCTGCCTTGT